GAAGGGCCCTGGTTGTTGTGAACAATAACCGGCAATAAAAGCGGCTTAGCGAGGCCTGGCCGCTTAGAGCTGTGGCAGGGCCTTGATGGGTATGCAGTCCCGGATAGAGCCGTGAGGGGCGGGTACCATGGTACAAAAGTAAGAAGGGTTTATCAGCTACCTGGCACCTGATACAGCAGCGGAAATATTCGCTGCTACTCACGGGATGTTTGCGGACTACAGAGATTCTCGCTTCTTCTGCACCTATGTGTAAACTTTGTCGTACGGAGGAAGAACAACAGTGGGTAGAACATAAAGGTCCCTGATTGTTCGAGCCTTCGTGACGTGAAGGCGGTCGAAAGCTCTCGAACAATCGGGAACGTTCATTTCCTACCTGCTATTTATCTCCTCGTTTACTGAGCGCTGCTCGCACACTGTTAACTCAACAGTGTGCATAGCACACTGTTGAGTTAACAGTGCAGATATCAAATACCAATCACCACGTCCCATGTGACAGAATTTGTCAAGATGACATCTCCTGACAAATATACAGATTTACCCAGAGAATGACTACATTTTGACCAGTGACATCGCTCGATGTAATCTCACTAACAAATGTCTGTTCCCTGAGGTACTCTTTAGACTACTCGTTTGCACGCCGTTCTAGGGAGTGGAGGCCTCCTATTCCGGTGGAGGTCGTTGTCATAACGGCGACAGTGTCCGTTCCGGACACAAAGTGCTGTGCCACCGTCCTCCGAGAGCTTGGGCGCCGCCTGGAGGAGATGGAGATCTCAGGTCTGGGGCGCGGTCTGAAGGCGATCTTCAGGAGCCTGCGACACGCCACCTCTCTACGGAGCCTGCGGCTGCGCTTCCAGTCCTATTTTAGCGAATGTGACTTCAGGTGGCCGCAAGTGAGTGGCGCACTGGAAAGCCAAGTGCCAAGTGTGTGAATGTTGCACATCGCACACGCGTAGTGTGTCGATTTTCAGTCGCACGCTTGAGTTACGTATGCACACACGCAGATCCAAAAAAGTACCTGTAAAAGTACAATGTTCGCGGCCATTTCCCCTCCACAGGCGCTGGTGCTGCCCAGGATGCACACCGTGGCGCTGGACTTTGAAGGACAGGGATTCGTGGGCAGAGTTTACGATTGTGACGAAGACGAGGAAGACGAAGAGGAAAACGTGATCCACTACACTGAGACCGAACCCACCTTGCTGGAAGCCCTCCGCTCGCTGCTGCTCGCACACAGGTACTCCGGGTATTTCGGTTCGTGACGTGGGGGCAGGGAGGGGGTGCTTGACCGAAGTTATACGTCACAGCTTTTGCGTAAATAAAGTGGTTTTAAACAGCATATTCGAACCAATTGGTCTATATTTTTGACCGAAATTCCGAAATTCTCCCCGTTGCGTTTCATATACATATTCTTGAGGTTTTCGAAAATTTTGAAAGTGTGACGTCACACAGAGGGGGGCGTCTTTTGTGACGTTGCGTGAAGGGGGGGGGGGG